AATAGTCTGTGTAATGATCTGTCTATATAAACTGTCATGACAATATCGCCAAGTCTATCCTGATCATCCCGATATTCTCTCAACGCGCTTAACATAATGTATCATCCTCCATAGTGAGAGAAGAGGAGGTATGCTAGCTATAACACCAGTTACAACACCAGTTACTACACCAACTGCAACACCAGCTACAGCACCAGCTACAGCACCAGTTACAGCACTAGTTACAACACCAGTTACTACACCAGCTACAACACCAGCTATAACACCAGTTACAACACCAGCTACAGCACCAGTTATAACACCAGCTACAACAGTTACAACACCAGTTTCAACACCAGCTACAACACCAGCTACAACACCAGTTACAACACCAGTTTCAACACCAGCTACAGCACCAGCTACAACACCAGCTATAACACCAGCAACAGCACCAGCTACAACACCAGCTACAACACCGGCTACAACACCAGTTATAACACCAGTTACACAACAGTACAACACCAGCTACAACACCAGTTACAACACCAGCTACTATAACACCAGTTACAACACCAGTAACAACACCAGCTGCAACACTAGTTTCAACATTAGTTACAACACCAGTTACAAGTTACAACACCATACAAAGCCAACTTCTATAACACCAGTTACAACATCAGTTACAACACCAGCTACAACACCAGCTACAGCACCAGCTACAGCACCAGCTACAACACGCTACAACACCTGCTACAGCACCAGTTACAACACCAGCTACAACACCAGCCACCTCACCAGCTACAGCACCACCTATAACACCAGCTACAGCACCAGCTACAACACCAGCTACAACACCAGCTATAACACCAGTTACAACACCAGCTACAGCACCGGTTACAACACCAGCTACAACACCAGTTACAACACCGGTTTCACACCAGCTCAACACCAGCTACAACACCAGCTACAACACCAGCTACAGCACCAGCTACAGCACCAGCTACAACACCTGCTACAACACCTGCTACAGCACCAGTTACAACACCAACTACAACACCAGCCACCTCACCAGCTACAGAACCACCTATAACACCAGTTACAGCACCAGCTACAACACCAGCTACAACACCAGCTACAACACCAGTTATAACACCAGTTACAACACCAGCTACAACACCAGCTACAACACCAGTTACAACACCAGCTACTATAACACCAGTTACAACACCAGTAACAACACCAGCTGCAACACTAGTTTCAACATTAGTTACAACACCAGTTACAAGTTACAGCACCATACAAAACCAGCTTCTATAACACCAGTTACAACATCAGTTGCAACGCCAGCTACAACACCAGCTACTATAACACCAGTTACAACAGCAGTTACAACACCAGCTACAACACTAGTCACTACACCAGCTACGACACGAATTGCAACATCAGCTACAACACTAGTTACAACACCAGCTACCATAACACCACCTACAACACCAGTTACAATACCAGCTACAACATAAGATTCAATGATAACACTAATAATAATATTTACATCCAGAAAGTATACAACACCTTCTCAGAGTATAACACCACCGCGTTATCTACAATACCAACACCACCAACAGGTCAGGTAAAGTCATTTCAGTAACAACATCTACAACACGTTTAAGGACGAGGAACCATTAACTCTACTTGTTATGTATCACCAACGACAATAACCACGACTGATAGCAACATAGATTGTATACCAACACGAGCATCGAGAGATCGTCCAGTCATAACAGAGATACTCACCTGTGTAACATCACCTGCAGGATTATCTATGTATACAACATCAGTAACAAAATCAACAGTAATATAACACATTCAGCAACCAAACCTGGTAATGTTGATGGTGGTTTGGTATAATAATACTTTAGGTTCCAGCAGCACTAATGTAACAACGCTAACTATGGTGTAACGAAAAGAATCTCATATAAATTGTTCGTAAGTTGATGCTATTTTAAGGTAGAGTTGGGAGTTGAGATAGAGCAGTGAGCGTCAGTCAGCCAGCGTTCAAGAGTGTCGTGGGTGGTAAGTGTGGAGGTCTCGCGGGGCTACAACTTAACCCTCAGAATAATTACCGAAGTTGAAGCATGTTGGACTGAGTTATGCCGCCGTATGTTTGAACACAGAGGCCAGACACAGTACTGGGTGAAGGTTCCTCCTGTGGTGTGGTGGATTATGTCGGGCTCAATCATTTATATAATTAATCTCGTTGAAAGTTGTGTTGTTATTTATTGGTGATTTATGCCTTTATAATAACAACATATACAGGCAGTTGGGGAACGTTGGCAGTTAACGACGAGTGATTGGTTCTCTCTGAAATATTTTCCTTGTAAATGTTTCCATCTGTATAATTATACTTGAAGTATAAACATTATGTTGTTTGAGTGTCTTGTGTCCCAGGGTCGAAGACGACGTTTCTAGACCGTGTAGTATAGCCCTTAAACTATGACACCAGTTAACAGTCTTACGAAGATGACACAAACCTTCCCAAAACAACGTGCCAAGACGGCTGAGAATTATATGATTTAGTTGAAACAATTTGTTGACACAGCTGGATAACTGTACTCTGAACCACCCTCCAATATATATATATATATATATATATATATATATATATATATATATATATATATATATATATATATATATATATATATATATATATATATATATATATATATATATATACTATAACCACAAGGAAAGAAGAAAACACGAAGTTCCCAAGCGCTTTCGTGTAATTCACATCTTCAGGGGTGAGTACAGACTGTCTGTACTCACCCACCGCCTTCGAAGCAACATATAGATCACGCGCACCTACAGTGATTTTGCATATATATATATATATATATATATATATATATATATATATATATATATATATATATATATATATATATATATATATATATATATATATATATATATATATATATATATATATATATATATATATATATATATATATATATATATATATATATATATAACTACCAGATTCTGGGGTCACTAATTGTAAGGGGAAAACCTAACTATAGTCTTAATTTTAAGGGTTGCTGCCACCAGACCCCTTCTGGGCAGTATGTAGCTCGTTTGGTAGCGGGCAGAGTGGACTAGGCATTGAGTTAGGTTTTTCATTGACCAGATCGATAAGGGGAAAGAAGGGTGAAATCATAATATGTCTTAATTAATTTATTCCTAATAAAACATACTGGTAAAAAACATACAAGTGCGCTGGCCTTCCTCAGAAGAACAACGAAGATGTTGGTTACCCTGCTCGGCACCAGACGTCTTACATTAATTGCGTGTCATCCACATACTTATTGCATAGCAATCCGTGACCTCCTTACCTCGGTCATTCCTTCTTACACTACCCCTTAACACGTCAGACTGCTCCACCTGTATAGAATATAGCACCGTAGGTTATCATACATAGTAGCACCATCTCACCTCCCTGTAACACCATCTCAACACACCTGTTACACTCCATACCTGCAAGTATGGGACTCCTTGTAATTTCTAGGTATACATATGAGGCACCTCGTTCGCACACCGCCCTCGGTGGGTAGAGACGAGGGCTACACCAAGAGACATACCAGTACTATTTCTACGCCTGGTATTACAGGTCGCTCCAAGTGACGACCGCGGAGTTTCTCAAGCGTTTCCTTATTTGTTCCTACTCATTTGGGGTGGTGTGCTGGGAATCCACAGGTTCACAGTGGATTGGCATATCTGGGAGTAGTCACCACCTGGTGGGACGCTCACAGGGATAATGGCCGCCGCCCAGCAAGGCACTCCGACCGCATGGAACCTGAGGTGATGGTAGAATGGAGGACACTGAGGGCAGTGCCCCGCCGCTCATCACCGCGTAGGCCTACAGCTTCCAATCTTTAATTTTTACTTTTATTTCTTACGGTTCTCATTTGAACACTTTCCTGTATATTTTAACCTCATGCCTTATAAACACATATTTTAATCCTAAATTACACACTAAGGTAAGGTTCTGGTTTGCTAGTTCGTGGGTAAATTCATTGGGTTATATCAACGCGGCACACTCGAGGCGGGTACAAAGGACGCTCCCTTAAAACAAAAGCCAAATGTTCATGGCGTGGGTATATCCACTTCACTTAAAACTGTAATTAGGGATCCTCCTCTCACATATTGCACTATTTGAACACAGACATAAGATTCTCTGATCAATGTACATGTCGTGGGTATATGTCACGCGAGGATACGAGGTGTATTCAGTTCACACCGATGCATACAAGATATTTCCTTTAAAGTATAGTTTCTGGGTCACTCCCAACACCTCACATAGATCTGATACATTTATCCTTTTTCCAGATCATGGTTCTCATGTATATATATAATCAACAACCTCGCCCCGCCAGGACTCGAACCCATGATCTTATGTGTGTGACCAGGGAACGTTACCTCTAGACCACTAGGACACTAAAAGCAGTTACATATATATTTCATTAGCCCATAAAGTGCTCGGTCACACACATAAGATCGTGGGTTTGAGTCCTGGCTGGGTGAGGTTGTTGATTATATGTAGAAGTCCAAGCGCTTCATGGGGTAATGAAATATACATGGAACCTCGTGTTTCGAAGCCGGATTTGGTAAAACGTTACTCTGATCACTTACGAGGCACGGGTAGTCCCCTATTGGAGGTTCACGGCGCCATAAGCTCGATGAACATGCTTTGTGTGAAATATAATAAAGTCTAAGACTGCTTTTAGTGTCCTAGTGGTCTAGAGGTAACGTTCCCCGGTCACACACATAACATAAGAACATAAGAAAATAAGGAGTCTGCAATAGGCCGGTTGGCCTGTGCATGGCAGCTCCTGTCGAGAGTTACTACCACTCTCTATCATCCGTGAATCTATCCAGTCTCCTTTTGAAACTTTCCAGCGTTCCAGCACTTACTACATAGTTGCTAAGCTTGTTCCACTCGTCCACCTCCCTATTTGTGAACCAGTTCCTTCCTATCTCCCTCCTAAACCTAAACTTATCCAACTTAAATCCGTTGCTTCGAGTCCTATCCTGCTCGGATATTATAAGAACTTTATCTATATCCCCTTTATTGATTCCTTTCACCCACTTAAATACTTCTATCATATCTCCCCGCACTCTTCGTCTTTCTAGGGAATGCAAGTTTAGTTTCTTTAACCTATCCTGGTATGGAAGGTTTCTAAGTCCCGGAATCATTTTTGTCATTCTTCGCTGCACCGATCGTGGGTTCGAGTCCTGGCGGGTGAGGTTGTTGATTATATGTAGAAGTCCGAGCGCTTTATGGGCTATTTGGACACGTCACTTTAATTCTGAATCAAAGGAGCAGAGAAGTTAAGGTTAGGTGCCTCTGATGGGGTGATGATAGCCTCGGTGTTATTTACGGAGGAGGAGGAGATGTGATGGTGAACTACCTGCAGTAAGACATCAGCATGAATTGTTACTGTTATGCTAATGAGCTGTACAAACTATACAATAATTCTCCAAGTTTGTCTAAATTATAATGACCATTGACAAGAAATATGACTTGTGTTCTTTCACATTGTAATGATTCATCGAACTTTACTTCCTTTAGTGAGTCCATAGACATGACGGCCCGTGAGGCAGCACTCTATACAATAAACTAAGTCTTGGGTACTCAAGGGGGCGCTGAACTTGACCAACTGCTTTCTGCTGGATGTTGAGCACTGAAGAAACAAATTTGTGACAACATTGTAATTATTTCCCTAGTGATGTTCTCGGTGGCTGCATACTAGCGACTTAATACTTCATTCAGCTTTCTAGATGTACTTTGACATGCTTACGTTATATACAGGAGTGGGTTACTAAACACTGCCAGTAACATCCTGAAAAATGTGATTTTAGTGTGGAATGCGGGGTCTCGCTCTGGGCTGCGTCTGTAAATTTCACTTGACCGTTCACTGAATGACGCCTGATTTTTTATACACTAATGAACGGCAGCCAAGTCTGAAATAAATTTATATCTGAAGGAAAAAAATCAGTGTTTGAAAGGGACACCTCATTCTAGGCTGATGATGCACCATCTTGCTGTAACGCCGTCCTAATTATTAGGAGTCCAAATTGTCAAGACACCGAAGGAAATATCTTAGTCTAGGGAACTGTCGCGTTGTGTTAGAGCTCCCTGGTTGGTGTAGTGGTGGCAGCAGCCTCGAAGGATCATAAAAGATCACACGGCAGATATAGCGGCACTTAAGTGGTGGAATGGTCCGTGAGTGTGACAATAACTGTGTTATAGCTTGTAAGACTTGGCCTTCAAAACTAGAGTGTAAGTTAGGGAGATGTTTGTATCGTATGAGGAGCAACTCTTACCACCACCAGATAACATGTGTCACAGATTTCACCACATATTTGATATTTCTTCCAGACTACGAGACACTTTTTTTCTTCAAATAAGTTATTATTAATTACCACACCTTCATATCTGTCAGGATTGTGTCTT